GAGTCTTCTGCCGTTGAAATAATGTGACTGCTTCGCGGTTGGGTAGTGTAATCTTGGGCTTTGCCGAGTAAACTGTTCGTTTCCGGCTTTGGATTAGGAGGCTCCTTGGGGTTAGCCTTTATCCTAGAGAGGGTGTGGTGCCTTGGTGTCGAGGTTATTTGGGAATGTTTGAGTCTCACTGCAGGGGATGTGATTGAGGCCCTGGAAGATTGTCGTGTCTTGAGAGGTGAAGAAGTTTTCGTCGCCTGGTGGTCTACTCGCAAGAGGGGGATCACTGGCAGATAGCAGAGTTGCGAGTCGCTAGCACCCTTCTGAGGGCTTCCAATCGCTGAGTCGGGCGTGCAGATTTTCGTCTGCGGAAACATCGCGGACAAGGTTGTACGTCTTTTTCAGAGTCCCGGTTTTGGCGAGAGCATATGCTACCGCTGACTTCGAGTTGAAGGTGATAAGGATGCCCACCTTCATCTTCTTAGATTTGAAAATCAGCCACGATGCTCCCTTTGGTCTGGGTAGGGTTGGAGCTGTAAGGCTTTTCAGGAGGATTTTGGTTGCCTGAGCCGGAGAGCTGAACTTGGGGAAACTACCTCAAATGATAACCCACTTGGCACTAATGACCGCTGATTCAAGTTTGACTGCAGTGCCTAGAATCTGTTGGTTCGATAAGGTGATTGCCTGACCTGTGGCCGCACATGTTGGAAAGTTATCTTCAAGCAGTGCTGTTAGGTAACTTCCGTTGTTATCTAGTGCCGCGACTTTTCATCTTAGTTTGCGAATTATTGAACCTCGTAGGGCAAGGGCAACTAGTACCGCTTATAGCACTATTTGAGTGCTGGCTCAGTCGCTGGTTTCGGACACTTCACGTAGCACGGGAGTTTCCCGAATGGGTAAAGCCTCATTGTCTAAGGACTCGGAAAGCTCAGAATAATAGAAAAATATAAATCGGGGACAGACAGTGTTCACTATGTAGGGAGGAATAGGTACCGTGACTATTTAGATTCCATGGGAACACTAGGAATAAGATAAGAGCGAACAGTGCTAGTCTAAATGTAATGATTGTAGTGGCGGTGGTAGTAGTAGTAGCACACACGGAATTTTGAACATGAACCGCGCAATAGGAATTCCAGGATACGAATCTAGGGTCAGCTATCACGGACTGGATTACGGAAGCACTAAACCGAAAAGACACGAGCTGGCAATATTCTACGTGAACGAGACGCGAGGAAAAGACCACAAGAATTGTAGCCTGTAGTTCGTTTATTGGAAGGAATGAAGGCGATTAAATAATATGTTTAAAGAATATTATTGGTTATTTAGGCTTCCATCAATCGTATTGCAATACTGCTTGCATAATTCTGCCTCTGTCTGCACTGTCTCGGATTTACTGGCACGATCTGTCTATGGCGTGTAGTCGGAAGCCGTACATATGTGACTGACGTCACTTTTCAAATTTGACTGATCGCAGATGTCCGGAAACTGTAACGCGCGGGACCAGGGTAGGCCTCATCACCACACTAACAAAGTCATAATTAAAAAATGTATTCGCACTGGAACACGAAAAACTACCTATGAAAACCTGTAGAAAGAAAAACTTATCAAGCCACGAGAAATTTTCAAACGCGCGCAGTATATGTCAGTTCAGTTCAGCTTGAAAAGGACGTAAGTGGTTGAGACCAATCGTACATTCAGATCACTGTGTTGTCAATTAGTTGCTTTGGCCTCCAATACTTCTCGTCAAACCTTTGTTCTGCTATTTTTCTGAAAGGCAGAATTTTTAGGGGCAGTATGCATGGGTCAGGTCAGCTCAGGTTGGATAGGTCGGTAAACGCCAACCGAGCGTCCAGATTCTTGCTCCAGCCGGAAAAACCGTTGTTCCGGAGCTTCCAATTCTTGTCGATTGTTTGACCACAGGCAATATATTCCTCTAGAACAGTCTCCTTTTTCGAGTCCGTGTCTGCAAAGGAGCTTATTTTGAAAAGGGAAGCACGGAGCACCTACTGACAACCGTAGGCACCCCCAAAAATCTCTGAATAGAGGCTGATCCAAAACCCATTTATTTGCCTTTCGAACATATTGACTGTCCTACAGTCCAGCAGTAAAGATGGTAGTTGGTGTAACGGCAATCCGAACAACGTTCAATACGACTCGTTATATCTCGACTTCGACTGAGCAGATTTCCAGCACGTAGGAAAACAGTTGAAGGATAGTTGAAATTTCTTTTCTATTATAGACATACATCAATACATATTTCCGACTTACGAAAACGCGGTATGTCCAATTTACAGAACAGCAAACAATAAAGTAAATCGCAGAGCGAGATCACAAAGATACCGAGCGGGTAATACGGAGTCCGATTAACAAAACTGTCAAATGTTGAGTTCATAAAAGAGAAGGAAGAAATAAGAAAAGGAAGATAATGGAATTAGAAAATTAGTGTGCATAAAAGCTGTGGAAAACCGTCACACGGCCCATCAATCGCTCAGCAATTTTGTGTCGTTTTCTACATAGATTTCCAACGGAATATCCCAAAGTGACTTTGGAACAATTGATTTTGAGTACCGCGTGGCGTCATTTGTTTTGTAGATGCTGATAAGATAGTTGCTATTACATAAATGCTCGTCTCATGTAGAGTAGATGGTGACATCATCAAGCCTGATGATTCTACCGGAGACCGGTGAAGAATACGTCGATTTGAGTAAAATCGATCCAAGTAGGTTGAATGCTCCGACTGGCCCGGATCTATAGGATCTGGGCACTGTCGTTTGTCAGACGTGGACAATTTCAATCAACTAAGTTATCGTGATATGAAAATCGATCAAGTATACCTACAGGCGAAGCTAGGACTTAACGAACACGGGGTTTTCCTTTCCTTCTTTTGTGGAAGGCTAGTCAAGCCGCCAGGGACTACAAGATGCAGTCGTTGATAGCAGTCTGTGGCGATTACAACTGTGGTGTTGATTGTAGCTAAGTACCATTTAGATTTTGATGAGGCGCGATGTTCTTCATGTCTTTTTGAGATTGGTACTAAAATTAATCTTGTCATGCATTTATGTTCACCCGGATTGGTAGCGACCTAATGTCTAAGGCTAGGGCTTGTACACTCGTGGCAAATAAGTTAGCCAAGAGTAAGCCATCAACCTGTACAGGTAGCCTGCTGCCCGGCAATAAAGCTCCCAATCAGTGACAGTAAGAGTAATAGAAAATTTAAGGTGAAGCATAAAACATAGTACAAGAGTAAGTGGTCAATGACCGTATTTCGTAAACAAACGTCTGAATAACGAATGAAAAGGAGATTACTCCACGGTTTGGATTTAGTTGTTATTTCACGGTGATTCAATCTGAACGACCAGAAAACGTTTCGACTCCGTGATGCTTCATATGTAGATTTTGCAAGCCGGTATTGCGTATGACGTCAAGATTATTTGTGAGTCCGTCTATCAAGTTGGAATGGCTTTAGTGCTAATGAACGGAACGCTCATTAGCAGAATATGGAGCCCGAGTGCTCCGAGTCGATTAGGTATCCAATGAACCCAACTGTTCATTAACCGAATACGTTCAATTGTGGCCGCTGCGAGATAATTCTTTCCAAATTAACCACTGCTGCTTNNNTGTTTAAGTGTGAAAGCATCATACTTTTGCTCAGACAACTTAAATGGCAGAACATTCTTGATTTTGTGTCTTTGTCGATTGTCAAGTGTGTGATGTTACAGAAAGTGTTCGTTTTGAAGTATCAAAAATTTAGAGAGATAGACATCAACGAAAGAGGCATATTTGTGAGGGAAATGAAGAGTAAAAAATTAGACAGCAAAGGTTTCATGATAAGTGCCAGTGATACGGAATTAAATAGTTCATCTCAATAAGCGGGAAAAAGGGGAAGATTGCAAATGCAATAGACCAATAAAACGTACCATTTCCTGGAGTCAATAAATTACATGCTCACCACCAAAAACATTGTTCAGGACCCCTTCTACAAGGCAGATATTTTTGACCTCTCTTCTGAACATTTCACTAGAAACCACTTAAAAGGGCGACGGTGAAACCGTTGGAGTCGATAGAAGTGACCGCACGTATAGAACAGTTAAAGAAAGATCTCCGAGACATGCAGCGCAGCACTCAAGCGCTATTGGGTAGAACGAGAAACATCTTGCTGCATAACTTTGCGGAACCAACGATTTACGATGCTAAATCGCGACGAGAGGTGGATCGCAAACACGTTCAACATGTTTTCCAACTGGCCAGTATGCCGGCCAACACGCCCCAGCCAGACCTAGGCATATACTAATAGTATTTTACAGTACATACGGCCAAGACCTTCTGCTCTCTAGGGTTGTTGCAGTGGAGATGAACACCAGGGGGTGCATCAAAGTTACCCCTAATACAGTTCATCACGCCCAGCGGGGCGTCATCCCCGTTGTTTCTGCAACAGAAATAATGCAACAAAAGAAACCCATAGTTGTTCTGAGCAAAATGAACGCCCATATGGCGCACGGAGTAGGAGTGGTTGGGGCGTGCCAACGCATGGTGATCCAACAAAGTCTACCAGCTGGATCACAGTTGTTCAAGTCCACAACCCTAAAACCCAAACCAGATGGGCAAAAAGGCGATAACAGTAGGGAGAAAAAGCCAAGGCAGTCGCGAGATGAAGTCCCTGGGAAGGAAGCAGATAACAAAAGAGCAGACGGCCCACCAAAAACCATTCTGTCGGAGCCATCCAAGGCTGAGGGAGTAAAAAAGATGGGTGAGTCTACGGTCGCTAATAGAGAGGCGAAATCAGCGTTCGTTAGTTGGGCCACAGTGGTAGCAAGGAATATCCAGGACACTCCTCCTCTGCAGTGTTAGAGGAAACTGGGGAGAGTTGGCGACGCGCACCCAAAACTCGGTGATAAAAGCTATGACTGAAAATTGGATGCGGCATGAGCAGGATGTAGGAAAGCCCAGAGACTATTCGGCTCATAGGCATGATAGAGTGGACGGCAGACAAGGCGGAGGAGTACTCTTAATGATCAAAGCTGCTTACACTCAATGGGACTTACCAGTGAAACTGGCAACACCTAATATTCAAGCCATGGCGTGTAGTATCCTTTTGGGAGGACAACCGTTAGGAGTGCTACTAGTCTATCGCGCACCGCATGCGGAACCCACAGAAGATATGGATTTACTTGCTACAGTGCAGGAATTCCTGTCGAGCACCCAAAGGATCTTAATTCTGGGAGATTTCAAACTTCCGGAGATCTGTTGGGTAGAGGGAGAGGCTCCCGTGAGGACAAAGGGAGGAAGCTTTCCAACATGGCTACATACGCATGCGCTCAAACAGCATATCATACACGCCACAAGGTTTCGCAACCAACAGAGGGCCTCCGTCCGGGACTTAGTTATAACGCGGTAATTATCGGACATAATTGAGGTAGCAAAGGGCAATCCACTGGGTAGCAGTGGAGACTCCACTTGGGCAGGAGTGATCATGGGGTACTTAGGTTAGTACTACCCATGAAACACAGCAAACCGGCCGCCCCACTAAAACAGTGTTATAGCCTTATAAACGTTGCTGCCCTACAAGAGGTCGCAGAGTGCTGTCCCACAGGGATGAGTTTTGGGTCCCTTATTATGTTTGATCTTCGTCAACGATCTTGCAAAGGATCTCCAAAATCCTAAGTTGATGTTTGCCGATGATGTCAAAGTAGCTGGAAAAGGATTGGAACAAGATCTAGATGCAGTTCGAAGGCGATCAGATATGTGGGATCTACCACTGAATCTAGCTAAGTGTCAGCTCTTGACAACAAGAGCCAATGATGACACGAGAGGTGTGATGCATTTGCAGCATGTCCCTGGGGCAAAGGATCTAGGGGTAATGATTACGAACGACTTAAGGTCATTACTGAAGTGCAAGCGTGCGGCTAATAAAGCTCGACAGGAACTTTCCAGGTTGTGCGTTGTAGTAAACTGCAGAAGACCTGAAGTTTTCGTATCTTTGTACGACACTATAGTGCGTCCTCATATGGATCGTTGCGCACAGGCATGGGCGCCTTATTTTGAACAGGACGAACGGTGTCTTGAGAAAGTGCAGCGTCGAGCAACTAGAATGTTAGCATGCCAGAAAGGTAAGGGATACTTCCAGCGACTGAGGGACCTGGACCATTTCTCCCTGGCCCACTGACGCATGCGAGACCACCTTATAGAGATATTTACCATTGCCAAAGGGCTTTCGGGTCTAAAGTTCGAAAACGAATTCTAGTTTATTCCTGCCAGGGGCACGACTTAGATTGGAAAGACGTCATTGTAGAATAAATCAATGAGCTAGGTTCTTCACAAGCAGGAATAAATTACCTGAAGCAGTGGTTAACTGTATTAGTGTCGAATCTCTCAAGAGAAGGCTAGATGAATGCTGGCTAGTGATATTTCCCGAAGTTGATCGTTAGGCTTTACTTTCCGAAACGTTGTAAGGGATCTGATACTGCACACGAACATTCTGCCTTTCAGAAACCAACAGTGACTCGGAGTGTTGGAAGCCAACGAAAGTGCCGACGACACAAGGAACTGTACGCGCGATTGGCAAGAGCCACAATTCCTCGTGTGAGCACTGAACTGATCTGTACTAAACGAGAAGGGCATAGTGAGGAACCTGAAGAGTAAAAATTGAGACCACAGGTCCCATGAGAAGCGGCGGTGACAAGGAATTGAATAGTTTCCCTCAGTAGGCGGGAAAACGGGAGAATCGCAAAATACAATAAGTCAGTAAACGTATTGTTTCCTGGCGTCAACCAATTACATGCTCACCACCAGGAACACTGTTCAGGACCCCTCCTAAAAGGCAGATATTTATGACGTCTTTTCTGAACGACTCACTAATGTTTTTTGCCTCCACTTCTCTCATCATTCCATCTTTGATTTTTCTGGTTTGTTGTATAAGACCCAAAGGCCACTTGTTCCTGGGTTTGCTTTCCTTTATCATTGTCACTAAATCTCCCGGTTGAAACTCTCTTTGTCTTATATACCATTTGGATCTGATTTGAATCAACGGCGCGTATTCGCTCGCCCACCGCTTCCAGAAACAATTTGCAAAATCCTGTACTTCACTCAGTCTACGGTTATAACGGTCTACTGCGATTTTCACCACAGAACTCGAATCGCACCATCCTATAGTGAGCAACATCTGTGGCGTGAGTGCTTTGCAAGCTTGCGGATCGAGTGGTTGCGAAACCAGCGGTCTATTATTCATTATCCGTTCGTCCTCTACTAGGAACGTGAGTAACACTTTGTAAGTTACCTGTTTTGCACTAAGGAGTACCGTCAGTATTCCCTTTCTTATCTTAATTAGTCCTTCTCAAACTCCCCCTCTATGAACGGCATTAGGAAGGTTGAAGTGCCACTGTACCGCGTCCTTCAGGAGATGATTATATGTTTTATCCTGAGAGCAAGATCGCAAACAAGCCCTCAGTTCACTGGTCACTCCGACAAAATTCGATTCATTATCACTGAACACGTGTTTTGGTTTGCCTCTGCGAGCTATAAACCAGTTTAGGGCCATGATGAATGATTCCGTTGAGTATGAGTGCGCTACCTCTAGATGTACTGCTCTCATGGTAATGCAGGTGATGATACATCCGTATCTTTCCTCCACAGACCGTCCCCGCTTAACCTAAAATGGCCTGAAATAGTCTAGACCAACCGAGTGGAATGACAGCAGTTATCCACTCATTCTATTTATAGGCACTGGAGCCACTAGCTGACACCCTGGCTTGCCCAGTTGCATACTACAGTAAACGCATTTGTTCAGAACTTTCTTTACTGTTGCACCAACTTTGATTATCCAGAACCGCTTCCTAATTTCAGATAACACGTGCTCGGGCCCTAAGTGACTTTTCTTCTCACGAAAGTGACGTTAAGGAAACTCGGTTACATAGTGTCTTGGGGGTGGGATAGCTGGGTGTCTTGCGTCATGTGGCAAGTGCGCATATTGCAGTCTACCACCAACTCAAAGCACTCCATTTACTAAAATTGGACACAATTTACGTAGGGGACCACCCCTGTGAACGTGTTCCTTAGGGTCCATTAACGCAATGTGATTGTCTGAGAACGATTCTGTTTAAACTAGACGCACAACGTTGTCTCATGCGTTTCATCTCTTGTCTCAAATGTCTACCCTTGTTGTAGTGACAAGGTACCTTTCTTTCTAAACATCACGTTGATATACTGTGTAAAGCGCCACAGCCCAGCTGTTGCGAGCAACAGCTTAAACCACTGCGAATGATAAGAAAGTAAATTGACGCTTATCGCGACAGTTGTTTGGCTGATAGTCACCGTGCACTTAAGTTCAATCTGCCCTTCATTTTTTTCAGTGAAGAGCAATTTGAAAGGAGGAACCTCTTCTAAGCTTCTCAGGAATGACGGCCTTCGGAGGTAACCTTTCCACTTCTAGTCGTCCACCTCCAAACCGCGAGTGCCATGGTTTGCATGACTAATTGTTCCCTTTACGTGATACCATTGCTGAGCTGTTGAGCTTTCATGTATTAGAGCCAATCGGTTGGCTATAAATGTATCATAACGAGCTGATCTGTTGTTTATGTAATAAAGCACAATTGTTGAATCAATCCAGTAAAATATAGGCCCTTTTGAAATATCCAACTCCCGGCTTATGTTAACTTAATCGCTATAACAGCAGCCGCCAGCTGTAGTTTAGGTATGGGAACTGCTTTAAGTAGAGCCACGCGTAATTTGGCCATAATGAGGTTACATACAACAATGTACGACATTTATGCTGTCCCGTAAGCTGATTCAGACGCGTCACTGAATCTGTGCAGTTGGGCTGACTCAAGCGCTCCTTAGTTTTCACTCCCCATACACATTGGCACCTTTAATTCCTTTAACCGGTTAAATTCACTAACCCAAGATTCCCAAGTGCGCCGGTCATTATCACATACTAGTTCATCCCATCTAAGGGTTTTGCGATGAAGTGCTTGTAACAATACCTTGCTCGTCATAAGTATTGGAGTAACGAGACCCAGATGGCCATACGGAAGAGCGACATTTGATAGCAGTCCTCTTTTAGTGAATGGTTTCCGGATTGCTTCAAATGGGAGGACGAAGGTATCGTTAACAATAAGCCAATTCATGCCTAAAGTACAGTCTTGGGCCTCTAGATTCATATTTAGCTGTGCACAACTAACCACCCTTTTGCTCTCTGGAATATCGCTTATGGCGTCAATGCAGTTGCTCAAACACTTTCATAGCTGGAAACCTCCCTCGCTAAGCGCCAATCTTAAGTNCTTAAGTGATCCGCGAAAAGCATTGCTTGTTTGGTATCGCCAAACGATGCTAAACAGTCTTCGACGTAAAGATATCGTCCAATCGCACATCTTACACGATCATTACCTATGTCTTTGAATGATTCGACCCTGCGGTGTAAGGCGTAGTTCGCACAAAATGCCGGCGAAGTGGCACCAAATGGGTGAACTAAATTTCTATATTCCTTTGGTTGTTGATTGAGATCTCCATCAGGCCACCACAGGAACTTTAATGCTCCCGATTCATGTTCAATCACTCTCAGCTGCAAAAACATCCTTGTATGTCTGCTGCTGCAACTACTTTGCCTAAGCGAAGTCGCAGCAGTACTCCAACTAAGTTAGCTACGGTATTCGGTCCTGACAATAAGTGTTGGTTAAGACAAACTCCTTGATAGGTGGCTGCACAATCAATGACTATTCTAACCTTTTCAGGTTTTCTTTTTGGGTTTACCACCAGGATGGTGTGGTAGATACCACCTAGGTCTGTACGTGACTTCCAGTTGATAGTCAGGTACACGGTCGAAATAGCCCTTTCGAAAGTAATCGTNAAGTAATCGTTCAATAAACTATTCTACTTGTTAAGTAAATTTGGATCTCGCATAAACTTGCGTTTTCGGCATTCTAACCTCAGAATCATTAGCTCGTAGTTGTTTGACATGGTATGCGGTTTGGTTTCTTACGTTAATCCGATGCTAAATCGTTTCCCGCCATGGTTTATCGATTTCTTCGCTATTGGAAACGATCGACGGTCTTCCTCGGAGTGATGTATGACCATCTTGTGCAGATCTTAAACTCCTTGTTGTATAAATCCTTCAACATGGTGCTAGTTTTACTCCCCCGGGTAACTGTAAACATTTGTTCGCGAGCTGTTACGCTCAAGGACGGTCCCATAATCAACCATCCCAACGCAGTTTTGTTCGCAAAGAAATCATTTGACCCGCCATATCGACCATTATTCACCCAATGAGCTTGGGGGACATCCCAACCAATGATCAATTGAACCTAGGGTTGGTCAGATGCTCCCTTTCTATACCGTTCAGGTGGGTTATTCGAGCCGTTTGTTTCTTATCCGGTACCTAAGCTCTTGGAAACAGTGGATCGTCCATGGTGTATGCAGTGCTTACCTTAATGCCTTTATGATCCCTAAGGAGGCTAACTTCTAATGATACCCTTTGACTAACTACATGTTGCTCTCCAGCCACGGTGCGAACGTTCATTTTTACTCCCGGGCCCCCTAGCCCCAACAGTTCAGAAACGTCCTTGCTAAGTATTGTTATATCCGACCCGCTATCTAGCAAGGCATATACCTTCAAAGATTTATTGCTGTGCATTATTTTTACCGGGACTATTCGGAGGTAAGTATTGTCATTCAGCGCAGGACAGGAGGCCCCACGATTGCGTGCACATTCGCGGACACTTGATCCCTAGGCTATGGCACTTGCCGGTGCAACCATCAACCAAACATTTATCATTTTCTTCACATGCCCGTGCCAGGTGTCCGTATTTAATGCACTTATAACAAAGCTTTAATTTCTCCACAATTTTTCGTCTCTCTACCACATCCGACTTGAGGGAATCTTCATATTTGGTAAGTGGGTGTGGTTTCAGACACAAAGGGCACTGTAAGTTCTGTAATGACACTGATGCTTATCTAGTTGTAATGACGTTCATATGCGTGTTACACCGAGGGCCCCAGGGGCGATTAGTCTCTGGTGAACGCCTTGTGTCCACTAGCCTTCCAAAAGGATTGTTCTGAATCCTCGACTCTGCTTCTATCATTTCAATAAAGTCGGTACCGTTTGCCATTATATACGATCCTATCCGCCACTTCGGATCACGTACGTTGTAAACGTCTGGGCAATCGTGTTACTAATGACTCGAGAGCGGGTATCGAATTCAACTCGGACCCACATCCCATTTCCGTTAGGACCATGCTGCAGCTTCGCAATTAAATGCTAAGTCTGCTCAGACCCCCGCCTTTCCCACTCAATTCTGCTGTCCTAGCCAGAACGTCTTTTGCTACATCCCTGAATACTTCGTGCGGTCGATCGAATAATTTATCGAGTATCTTCCTGGCCGTATGATACCCATCATCCTCTGCCACTAGAATGCACGATTCCATTGCCTCTTTAGCTACTCCCTTACAGTAGCGTACCAGTTAAACCAGTTTTCTACCTTCCCCTCAAGAGAGTCCAGCAAGGAAGCTGTCGAACTGCCGTTTGAATCGCCAATATTCTGTAGCATTTCCATCGAAAGAAATGAGTTCCAACCGCGGGAGTTCTAAGTCATGAAAGGTGTCATGTCTAGGTGCAGGTAGTTCTCTTACGCCCCTACTAAACTTCACTCCGG